AGGAGAAGCAGCAAAGTCAAAACAGTCCAAATTCAGCAACAGGAAGGAGAAACAGGAACACGCTGGATTAGAGAGTACAGGAACCACAGTAATCTGGCAAAGGTACAGAGACAGGAAGTGGCTTTTATAGGCCAAGGACCAGACACCTGACCAGACACAGCTGAAGTGAGTTGTCACTGATAACCTTGACTCTACAAACAATAGTATCAGATCTCAGGTAAATTTGCAAAAGGCAGGCTGGTGTACTGGTAAGGAAAAGGTTTAGCACCATGTAAACCAGGGTTCGAAACCCAGCAGAGTCAGTTCCTCACAAGACCAGTCCTAATAACAATGGATGTACATAGTCTATACACAGTGATACCACATGATGCTGGGGTAGAAGCTATGCGGCAAGTCTTGATTCAATCTCCTGTCTACCATGGCCCCCCTATAGAATATGTTTTGGAACTACTTTCTTTAACTCTTCAGAATAATTATTTTCGTTTTGAAAATAACTGGTATCTACAAGTGGCTGGCACATCAATGGGCGCATCTATGGCGCCGATGTATGCTAATGCATACATGTATGTGTATGAGAAGGAACACATATTGGAGAAGTACCAAAGTAATATAATAGCGTACTACAGATTTATTGACGACCTGTTCATCATATGGAGTGGAACTTGTGAATCAGCCCACGAAATGGTTCAAGATCTTAATCTCTTACCAACCCCAGTAAGATTCACGGCGGATATTAGCACAGAGAAGGTGCATTATTTGGATTTGGAAATTTCACTGGGAGCAACACATTTTCAATATTCCCTCTATATAAAACCTACAGATAGGAATACACTCCTTCACTATCAGAGTGCACACCCCAGGGCTCTGAAGAACTCACTACCAAAGGCTCAATTCCTAAGAGTAATCAGGAACAATTCGGAAGCAGCTATTAGGGATGTCCAGATTCTTGAAATGAAAAATAAATTTCTTCAAAGAGGCTATGACGAATTTATGTTGGAAACAGCGCTACAAGAAGCATTGAATGCACGCGCCATTGAAACAAAGAAGAAACCTCTTAATTTGGTCTTCCCTATGGTATACAACCAGTCTACCTCTCAAGTGGCATCGGTCATTAGGAAGAATTGGAGGATTGTGTCGAGTGATGACACGCTCCCGAAAGTGTTTAAAGAAAAGCCATTAATTTGTTATAAGAGAAATAGAAACCTAAAAGATATGCTAGTACATACGGATCCCTCCCAAAGCTATTTGAATATAGCGAAGGAACAAATAAGAGGATCTGTTCGCTGCCTTGGCTGTGTGACTTGTAGCCACATGACACCTGCAAGAACTTTTTTTCACCCTCACAATAATAGAAAATATACTATTCGATATACTATTACTTGCAAGACGACACATGTAATATACAAACTGTCTTGTCCGTGTGGCTTATGTTACATTGGGAAAACGGAGACGGCCATCTGCGAACGAATCAGGGGACATAGATCTTCTATTAGACTGGCATATCGGGATGGTTCTACAGATAAACCGGTTGCAAAACACTTCCTTGAACTAAAGCACTCATTGGCTACATTGAAATTTGTGGCTATAGACCACATCCCTAACCCTAGAAGAGGGGGTGATAGGGGGAGGATGCTACTTAATAGAGAAGCCTATTGGATCCATGAGTTGGACACTGTGTCTCCAAAAGGATTAAATGAAGCATTGTCGCTACATTCTTTTTTGGCCTGAATGCCCCTCAATGTTCTTTTTTATGTGTGATTTTATATTTGTGTGTATTTTAGGTTTTTCTATGTGCATTTTTCATGACTATCCTGCGACCGCCCGCTTATTATATAATTAATCATTTATGTTTTGCAAGCATTAATAGTTATTGCTTTGAAATGTGTTCAACAGTCTTTGATGCAGAACACAATAGTGCTGTCGCAACAATTGTTTGAACATACATTTTTGTTGAGTGTCAGAGGAGCAGAAACAAGAAAGAGAAAATAAGTTAAAAAAAAGTCGTGTAAAAAAGCCTTATATAACCATATGTATATACTTTTTTTGATTAATTAATCTATTAACATTAATCTCTAATCATTGGGGTTATTTAATATAAACATTCATATTAATTATAGTGGGTCACAACATGTTCACATTTGCACTGTGGCACTTTAAATATTATGCACCTATATGGCACTTTAAGAGATAATTTTGATGCACTTTAAATGACCCCTTTGCACTTTATTAATATACATAGATCACATTCACATTTGGCTTAACCATATTTGGTATGTCAATGTTCCATAGTAGCCTAGTTGTTCACAACTAGGTTATCATTTTTTGATAAGCTTGTTTCCATATCGATGTGTTTTCTCATTCACAGCCGCGTTACTATGGTAACGACGGCGGCGCACACATGATGTCACATTGGGGGCGGAACTTCTCCGCATCACTGCACAGTCCCGGTTCAGATGCCGGCTTCAATATAGTATACGCTGGCTGCGTCACTATAGCAACGGCGTCGTCACACGTTACGCCGGGGGGAGGGGCTACTCGGCACATGCGCACATTCCCGACCGGGACGCTGGTTGTCTTATGGCACCTGTGGTGAGTTATTGTAATTTACTGCATCCTATATATGGTTGAATTGTTATGTTATGTTTCTATGATCCTGATGAAAGTCCTTGAATAGGACTGAAACGTCGATTTTTTTAGGAGTACACAATAAAAGCTATGTTTTAAGAATCCGTGAGTGCAACCTTTGATTCAGCTATTTATATATATATATATATATATATATATATATATATATATATATATATATGTCACTAATTGGAGTCTTGGTGTCTAGGACAAAATTAGGTCAAGGGTCCATAAACTGAATTACCTGCCTGACCAAGATCCATTGCACAATAGCTATTGTATGATAAACTAATCATCTTCCCTTCTGTTTTACCTTATATACACACAGACACACTAACACAATTATCTCCCATAGTACAAGAAAGGGATCTCTGGAACAATGAACAATGCACTTCTGGGAAAACAACAAGGAAAGGGGGGATAGGAGAATAACTAACAAACAAATACATTACACACCCTGTACCTATAATGGGCACAGTGAGACTAAAACATGGGAGTAATCTGGGGACCTACATAAAGTGTCCATCTTCTGCCCCCAGTGATGGTGACTACTGATATGTGTGTGTGTGTGCATATATGTGTAGGATATATATATATATATATATATGGAAGGCTTTGCCTGTAATTGTGGGAGGGATTATTAGTCCTATTTAAACCCAGTGAGCCCCTGCTTACCTGTCGTCGACAATCTCAGAAGTTCTTCTGTTTACATCCGGTTCACAGGACCCTGACGTCAGTTTTCCTGCCTGCCAGCAGTTTGTACAAACTCTCTTTTGTACTGAATTTCGTGAGTATAGCAGAGGAAGCCAGCATACGAATGGCTAACTGTAAGTCATACTCAATTGCACGAACGCACCTATGATCAGTTCATTAAATCACACACGTTCGTCTAAAATTAATTTCGTCTGAAACTATCATGTAAAACCGTTCGTTCAAATACTGCTGCATTTCGTGTAAACTTTGGACTGTAAATTTAAACAAGTCACGGTTTGTTATTCCAAACATTAGTTCAAGTGACCGCCTTTCCAGGACAAGTCAAAGCTTCCCTACCTCTATTCCAAATATATATGGTTAGTATCTAGTTTTTTTCCTAGGTTTGTCCTTGTCATATTTTCATACTTCTGGGGGTTTAGGTTAGAACTCAATCATTATGAAATGTTTTAGGAACAAGTAGGGGTCATTCTTATCGACTACTTCCTACAGGCCAATAGCAGGTATGTGTGTAAACCCCCCCCCCCAAAAAAAAAACCCAGTTAACTTAAGGTTAACAAACCCTCGCCAATTAGGTATAATTCCATAGGCATACAATATAAGGTGGAAATTATTCTTATTATAACAGGTATCAATAATAGGTAATCCTAGAGGCAAAGAGAAATAAAACACATAATAGTGCAGTATTGTCTATAAAATATAGAGAATGTAGTGAGATGGAGGAAATATCACTCGCACATAAAGAGCCTCTAGATAGGGCTCAATTTTCCAGTATTGTGGGATATAAGGTTCCCACTGCCTTCTTTATACTGCTAGTAGCCAAGTATGCTCTCAGGAACAGGTATGTAGATCCAAAGTGCTTTATTAGAAGTGCACAAGTGATCTAAAATAAAAATAAAAAATATATATCAAATAACAAGACCTTACAGTATTGAAGGTAGGTAGTAGGGTGAGTCCTTAGTGCAAAACGTGTTTCGCCTCATTCAGAGGCTTCATCAGTTGCTGTAGAGTGTGCATAATGCATTTTATTATGTATCTGTTTATTTTATAATTTATTTTATCTATATCTAATGTTTCTTTATGTAACCTCCACTAGCAATGCCAACCCCGAGTTTCAACCCAACATGGCCCAAAGAGAATTGAGAGATAAACTAGACAGGCCAATCATTTTTCTTGGCAAGGCTCAAGTCTGTAACAGTTTCAATGCCGGAGGTTGTAGTTACAGTGCTTGCAGACTCCTTCACGTGTGCTCACTTTGTTACAGAGCACATGCTAAAACAATGTGCCCAAACAGATTGTACCCTAAAAGATCGTCTACACCAATAAACATACCTAATTTGCAATGTTACCTGTCTAATTATCCTTCTTTAGATCTGGTAGAATGTCTCACACCTGGTTTCTCTAATGGGTTTCACACAGGTTTTGTTGCACTCCCCACAGGAAAAATGGAATGCCCCAACCTACAGTCAGCACTCACTGACCCTAGTAGTCTACAGGAACTCCTCTAGAAAGAAATCGACAACGGTTTCATGATTGGGCCATTTACAAACCCACCTTTCACCTACTGGAGAATGAACCCTCTAGGCATAGTTACAAGGAAGTGTAATAATAAAAAAAGACTCATCGTTGACTTTTTCAGCACCTCACTCTTCCACGACACCTAGCTTAAATGCACTGATACCATCCGAAGATGTATCTTTACAATACGCAAGAAAAGACGATGCCATACAAGCTATCATTAACTCCGGCAAGGCAGCATGGTTAAGTAAAACAGATATCACAAATGCATCCAAACTACTGCCAGTCCATCAATCATTCTGGCACCTGCATGGCGTTAAGTGGGAAGACAAGTACTACTTCGCAACCAGACTAACTTTTGGCTCCAAAAGTAGCCCCAAGATTTGTGATATTTTGACCAAAACATTGACCTGGCTCCTACTTAACAAATTCAGATGTCCAGTAATTCACTATTTGGACGATTTCCTCTCTATTGAACCACACCACTTCACACCAAGCAGCCTACATCACATGCTTTCACTGAGAATTTAGGCGTTCCAGTAGCCCCGGACAAAACAGAAGGTCCCAACACTGAGATTACATTCCAGGGGATAACACATAATTCAGTTTCAATGCAAGCAATCCTGCCTCAAGAAAAGGTAGAAATAATTCTAGCATACATTAATATCTGCACCTCACAAGGGTCTTGCACCAGGAAAGAGCTACAGTCACTTCTTGGGTCACTCAATTTCATGATGAGGATAATTCCACAGAGGAGGTAATTTATTTCCAGAATTCTCTCTCTCTTACACGATCTCCCTGATGACGATTCCAGAACTAACTTAGACGAAACCAGCTAGAGCCGATTTAAAAACGTGGCATCTATTTCTATCCTCTTGAAGTGGCAGGCCATTATTTGTTCCCCCCATCTCTGACTATTCCCTGGTAACTTGGACTGACGCATCAGGTGCCATAGGTTATGCAGTGATTTTTGGCAATGACTGGGTATACGACTCTTGGCCACCAGAGACTACCTCGCTAGAAAATTTCAATACAACCTCAGCACTATCTGGAATTTTCCCGAATGTAGCTGCAGCACACATTTGTGGTAAAGAGTGTAGAGGTAAATCAGTGTGGTGCTTTTCAGACAACTTGGCAGCATGTAACATCATTAATAAAGGCCACTCTCAGTCCCTTACTATCACGAACTTAGTAAGGAAACTTACCTGGTTAGTGGCAAATCTGCAGTTCTATCTTAATTGTATTCATGCAGCTGACTCACTCTTATGTTCTAATTTACAGGAATATTTCAGAGTCCATCCGACAGCAAACTTACAACCCTAAAGAACCTCCACAGTTCACAGACCTAATAATGCTCTAAATACCCTGTTAAGTCACAGTAGGTCACTCACACAGGCTGGTTTGTCACTCAATACTAAGAAAGCCAATGCCAGAGCATATGATCTGTTCAAAAATGTTGTATGTGATTACAATGTAATAAATGTTTTTTTTCCATAGAAACCATAGTCACGTTCACAACTTTTTGCCACATATCTCTAAAATTAGCATACAATACAATCAAACTTTACTTAACAGGCATACAACACTACACGTTAACTGTTTATCCAAATAAAGCTCCATTCCTAGCATCTTAACCTGTCAAAAGTGTCCTTAGAGGCATTCAGAGACTAACAATTCAAAATCCCATTAAAAGACTTCCAATAGATAGTAACCTATTTAGGAACATAATAGAGAAATTAAAATAATAGTCTCAAAAAATAAATGAGACTCAAAACTGGTTTTAAGCAAAGTACAGGAAACTCTCTTAATACATATAGTGACTCAGAAAAATCAGCACTGAGTATTGGTAATAAAAATTGCCCATATAAAAATTCACATGCTAGTTCCAAAAAATGCCGAATAAAAAATACTTTATTGTAATATGTAAGAGGGCACTATATGTGAATCAATCCAACTTGTGGCTCAAAATTGGTATGGATAGATATACCAGAGTCAATAGGGGAGATAGAGAGACCTAATAAAGCAATTGCATCGAAAATGGGACAGGATTAATAGCCATACTCCAAGTAGATCAAAGGAGGCTACCAGTAGGGATATATATAGGACTGAATCTGCCCTATTGCTCCTGAATAAAACCCCTTCAAGGGTGTTCTATGCTGTCCCTAGTAGTATATAGTGAGAGCTCAACAATCATCAGAGAATGCTTGGAAAATAGCAGTAAAGCGGACAGTGCAGGTTCAGAGTTAAGTCCCTATTGCTCCTAAACCAAACACCTTCAAGGGTGTTCTATACTGTCCGTGAAGAAAAATAGAAACAAAAGAGTCTCCCTACCAATTATCCCCTAGACCACATAACTCAATGCTGAAAAAGATGAAAAAATTAAAATGAAGATAATAAATCAAACACCTAGTGCTGCCATGTGTAAAAAACTAACAGAACGGGATATCCCCATCTGTAGGTTAGGCTGTGATCTCGTAGAGTCGAGGTGATGGGTGTCAGTGATTTTCGGAAGTGCAGTGTGTCTGCTGATAAGTCCGTAAAAATCTTTATGGAGCTGTATTTCTCTGGCATGTCTGCGTTCCTGCTAGCAGGTAAGATTTTCTCTTTAGCGTGGAAAAAATGGATCCTCGCGATGACATCTCTCGCCGCTGTGGCAGTAGGTGTTTCGGTCTGCACAGCCTATGTGCTCTATCAATGATAAGCTGGTCTTGGTGTATTTCAGGTACAAGGTCTTGGAACAGGTCTGAGAGGTATTTTTGTAAATCGGTGTTAGAAATGGTTTCCGGTACGCCACAGAATCTTAATATTGTTTCTTCATGACCTGTCTTCTATATCTGCCATTTTAAGCCTGTGTACCTCTATAATGTCATCCTGTTCTTTGATTTTGTCAGCCAGGCTGATATGAGCCACTGCATATTCACCCATCTTCGTTTCAAGAAGAGATGTGCACACTTGCCCAATATAGAAGAGGGTGCTAATTGTGACCGCAATTCCCAGAGCCTGCCTGGGTTATTGCTTGACCCAGATGACATCATCGCAACCAGCGTCATGACATCACTATGAGTCATTTCCACAGTAACCGGACGCCATGTCCGTATTGTGTATACCAAGTACAAGGAGCTCGGGCTCCAAAGCAATGAGCTATCCAGCTAAGGGGCTTTCTATTTTCAAACTAATAGAAACAACGAGTCACAGAGCTTCCCCCTGTTAAAAATATGTAACCATGTCCGAGGGCTAATTGCGCACTAAATGAAACAGGGGTAGAGAAATAGAGATTCAAATGCTGAAATTCATATTATAATATACATTATCAACATTAATAACAAGGTTCTTGAAAAGCCACCTAGTTACTCTAAATTACAACTCATAATGTTGGAAAATGTCTGCATATAGGTAAATAATGGCGCAAAAATCACCAAAAAATTGCTCACTCTATTAAGGTTTATGTATAGAACCACTACCAGGGTATACTCCACGATGTGTTGACAAATGGAGGGATTGAAAACACATTGTGACATGACCAATAATCAAAGTGCATTGTGGCTCCACAGGGAGTCCCACACCAGTTGCTCAAATATCCACGTTCAATCAATGTATACAGAAGGAGGGGAGGAGGGGCAAAGATAAAAACATAATACTGTCAGTGCATGGTACCGTGGGCAAAATATATACCCCACAAGTACTTATAGGCATATTCCAGACGTATATCTGGATAGCTATGACTGGACTCTCTCTATATATATTATGTATTAGTGTGTATTGTAAGAATGTATCATGCCAACTGCCTTTAGGTGCTTGCTGTATTACTCCATCACATGTATATAAGCTGGTCTGGTTCCAATTGCACTGTGGTGAATTTTTATCAGTCCCCTGTTTAGAGATATGCTGTTCTGCTCCTTTAATGATCTATACAATTTGATATTCTTTCCTCTGCTGCAGATAGGTAGCTATGTACATAGGGTTAAGTATTGGGGAATCTGTTTCTTGGTTCCTGTGACGAGACCAATCTCGCCACTGTGTATTGGAGGAGCCTGGTTGCCTGCCTGCTGCCTTTTGACTATGGACCGGCATTTAAGAACCCTATTTTCCTATGCAGAAAGGTCTATTCATGTCTTCTGCCCTGGCGTTCGGTAGATTCTCGGATTTACTGAATGAACAAGTGTCCCGTGATGTCAGGTTTCTGAAAGATTTTGCTGGCCTTTTACATTCCATTCTCTTGGCAGGGCATCTGCTCTTAGTAGGCCAGTCTTGTTATTATTTATTAATTGCATCAAGGTTTCTTTCGTTAATTGATGTGTTTCTTCCGAATTCAAATTCGTATGCCACCAAATGTCATTGTAAAGTTCATTGTTACAGAATATTGTTCCAGGATGGTTTTTCACTCCAGTAGGAAATCTATTTTCCTCTTCTTCTGCTCCTTCCAATTAACCACTTTTTCGAGTTGTAGGCAACAATCTGTGTCTTGTACTGTGAGGTGCTTTGATAGTCAATCTGGCTTTGTCAGTACCATGTTCCATCTTGAGAAACAGCTGGGTGTGACAGTTATCAGCCTTTATTTCTTTTTCCGGTCATCTTCTGTCTGGAATCATAATAGCAATATCCAGAATTAGCATAGCACTTCTTTTCAGCATAAGAAGGCTGTTTACGCTAATCATTCAATGATAAACTATATGGCAAAGTATTTTCTTGCATCACCTTCATAGGTGCATCCAAAGTTTTTCACAAGCATCTGTCTCGTCTTTTCCTGTTTTCAGCATGCTTTGCCATCATTGTTGAGTCCATTATTAGGATTTGTAATAGTCCAATCACATCCTTCTCATGTATAATCGTTTTTTTGGAATGATCTCAATAGGTTCCTTGTGAAATACCAGTGTGGGTCACATTAGCAATCATTTCACTGTGAGCTGTGTCTCTCCTTTGGAGATGGTTCTTGGAGGTAGTCCTCAAGATCAAAATAACTTGTATAGTGTGTTATATAGTCCTGCTTGTTAACATAATCCCAATGCAGTTTTAAAACGACAGCTAAGGTTGATGTTATGATAATGCTCCAGATTGTAAGATGGAGACACCATAACCAATTTTCTAGCATCCTTTTGCGTCCATCTTTGCATTTCTTTCTTACTGTATAAGATAATTCAGGTTCAGTCTGTTTTCTCCAGAGTCTTTCTTATAATGATGTTGATGATTCATTTTTCATACATTTCATGTTAACTGTGAATGTATCACATCTGTCTGTTCATCCTTCCCCTTCACATTTGCAGGTTCAGATGTCAGATCATGATTCAGTCTCTTACGTGGCTATGATTCTGGTGGCTTTGTCGTCCTCTGTTTGTTTTATCTTGTCATCTTTAACAGCATCCA